GACGAGAGCGCGGCCGGCATCGCCCCGGTGCCCATCCCGCCCCTCCGAAGGGACCCGTTCTCCTGCAGCCACGGCCTTGTCCGAGGGGTTTCTAGCACTCTCCGGAGGAATTCCCCCCGATGCCTGATTTACCGGCTGCTTGGAACCGACTCTTCAGAGCAAGGCCAGCTGCAGGTTGACAACCAGCCGGTGATTTCCCACTAAGGACAAGTGCCTTCTCCAGAAACCCTGGTGCTGCACATGTGTGCCCCCCTGCTCGCTACCATACTCCGGCAGCTGATCTAGGTGCAAAAACCCAGCCCCACCATCTGCATGTTTGCGTCCCTGGAGCTCCACACGCGGAAACAAACACATGTTTGGGATCCTGCGGGAGGGTAAACACTGCCCGCCCCATCCTGCGGCTTCCGGCAATAGGCAGGAGCACCCCGTGCAGGAGTCACACTTGCATCGATAGCAGCATCAGGGTGGGAATTTCAATACACAGGCTAAAAACATAGTCCCCGTCCCAGCTGTAATGGCCTTTCCTACGGCTACGTTACCTACTAGTGAACATTTCCCTAAATATTATCTCGAAATGCATGAGACCTATTTTCAGTTTCTTTGGAAACTGTTACCAGAAACGTCTGATTCCTGGGTATTTACACTCGCTGTGCCTAATTTTTTCTTGTAAAGGTCCACTTTCCCTGCTCTTTACATTTCAGTACTAGTTCATCTGCATGCTGAAGTGATCTGGAATACAAGCAACAGGAAGCAGAGGCTGTTGCTCCATACAGAAACACAGCCCATACCCCCCTGTATGTGCATGGTACCTACTGCACATGGGTAACGTGCCTAGAAGGAACACCCACGACATAAACGTCACATAAGTGTGACATGCAGGAAATATAGTAAAAGTCACTGCAAAGGAAATAAAAATACAAGAAGTAAAGACAGTTTTGCATTCTGAGGCAGATACCATCACCTATGTTCTGTAAGCAATTCTGGCTCACAGAGGAGCTTTCAGTCCATTCAGTGAGACTATTTTTGTGTGTCAGGGCTACTGCAACAAGAAAAGGGTAAGGCAAGCAAGTCTTTAATTTGTGGGACACCAATTCCCCTTTCTCTAAAGTTGTTCACTCTTACAGCATGCGAACTGTGGTTGAATGACGGCAAGAAAAACACTTCTCATCAGGCCTCCCATTCTGCACAGAATTCCATTCTGTGTTCTTTTATAGATGCCTTGCAAGAGAGTCTAAAATAAAACTGCGCTGAGGCACTTTCTGTGTCGTGACAATAGGAGGAAAATTGCCTCTAGCCCTTCTGGGAGGAGGCAGGGGCCGAGCGCGCGTGGCTGCAGCTGACAGACGACAGCCAGTATGCCGGTTTGGGTCGTGGAAATGGGTGGGCTACTGTCTAGGCTATGTCCCTCCTTTTGTCACCCTGCCACCTTTTTACAGTTGGCTGTTTGTTTTCTGCACAGTTAAAAAACTCTCTGGGCGAGAACTTAAAAAATACTGCTGTCAGAGGGAATTTCATTGCGCTAACAAAAGCAGAAGCGGCAGGAGGCAAGAGAGGGTGAATTAGTCCCAAGTAGTGGGTGGGAAGTACTGAGATCCAGGCTGAAAATTAGGTTTGGAATCAGCCAGAAATTCATTGGGGTGGGGGAAGCAGTTCTTGGGGTTGGTGGAAATTGGCAGTTAGTTCTTTTCGTGGGGCACGGTGGCTTTTTGGATTCTGAAGAGGCAAAGTTACAGGCCGCTGAGACTTCGTGCCTCTGCAGTGCTAAGGGCAAAGCTGGAAACAGCATTAGCAAATGTTTTAATTTCATCCTTGTTCAGGAAATCCACTTATCACTGAAAAGGCAGTTGCTTTTGCTCTTTTGGCTACAAAACCCATTCCCTGTGGGTAGATGTAGAAAAATCTACCTCTCACGGGCTCAGCTGAGACAGGTTTAGGATGGCCTGTACAATATTCTTGGTAGGAAACATTTAAAAAAAAATGGGGCTAACTGAACAAGTAAGCCTCCAAGATTCTGCTGGGTAGTTGTACTGAACTGCATATATAATGCAAAAACGCTGTGAAGGGAAACAAAGCAATGTGAAGTTCTACTGGCAAATTTGAAAATACGCCCAAATAATGACACTGAACAATATGCTGTGCTTGGTGACCTCCCTGTGAGGTGTAGGATCTGCTGGGTGTAGGTTTCCATAGGGAAATAGCTAAACAGAAACATAAAGCTTTAGGAGAAAGATGGGAGAAGAAAATAAAGTGAACAACACTTAACAAATTGCCTAAATAATAAAATGCACTCACTGGTAATTTTTCTTACCTGTTCTGAGATCAGGATTTGGCGCAGTTCCTTCTTGAGATCAATAAACCGATCGTGATAGATGGCCATGGACCAAGACTCCCTGAAGTAGCTGGTTAAAAAAGAAGAAATTTAGTTATCTTGTGAACCTCTCATTAACCACTAATAAAGTATTTACCTGCTTTTTTGTCTTTATAAATTACAGTTCTGGACCCATCACAAGCGTTTGTTCATAAAATGCCTCCCGTAACAGCATGGTCAATCAATTCTTTTAATGGATGTTCCTGATGTACAGCCAGCTTCAGTAATTACATTTAAAGTGGGTTAATTCAGAGCTGCGGCAAGACCCAGTGAAGAATCCTGATTTTATCAGAATTTAAAAGCCTGAAGACCTGTAAAGAACGGTGTCTCCATTATCTGTCCTCATTTGAGAAAAGCAGATTGCAGGATTAACTGAACTGCTGCATAAACAAATTAAATTTGTGTAGACAATGACACAAATGTTGTTCATCATTAAGGTTTCTGGATTAATAAAGGCCAGAAAAACAGGCCACCACAGTGTTGCAATATGTTCTTTGCAGTAGTACGCTGAAGCTAAATCGAACCTATTCTAGGAGGAAGCTCTTGTAACTTTTTCTCTCAGTGGCAGTGTTCATGACACCATTCTTCTGTGAAAAAGGAGTAAAAGGATGAAGACAGAACCCCAAAGCTGTAAATATAACTGGAGGCAGCTAGATTGCAAAAGCTGGGATTTATTTCTCCTTCCTCTGTAAGGAGAAATAATTTTTACAGCCTCAGGGATATGCTCTGTGTGCAACTGTTGTTCATGCTCACAGGAGTCGGGAGGTGCACCACATTCACCCCAGCACCGGGCGAGCAGATGTCAGCAGGGTCACCCAGGAGGTGTTAAGCGGGTGCGCCAGGGGCAGCAGCAGCACCCGGCCCTGCTGCTCGGGGCACGTGTGCGCCAGCGCTTCGCTCAGCTGCAGGGCCTTCAGCCACCATCTGGATAAACCAACTTAAAAGGTGCTGCGTGAGTTTAATAATTCTGACAGAGCTGCCTGCAGAAAGCTAATGTGCCGTTTCCTTGCTGCAGAAGATTATTTTGTTCATTAATGTCAAACAGCAGCATTTCCCCCCTCTCACTCCTACTAATCCTGACCTTTGTGCATCTGGCATAACTTTGGTGGTTTTCACATGCTCATCCCATCATAACTTCTCTTCTCCTTCCCCCTGTGCCCTTCCTCTGCATTTCTCTTTGCGTGGTAAGGTGGCCAGGTCTGCCTCTCCTGAATTTGCATGGTGTCCAGCACTGATGGTTTCACAGTATAAATATTTATTGACACCATTACATGTTTTTCCTATGGTAAGTGCTGCCCTGCCCAGGGCATTTGAAAAGGTAAGGTCAGCTTTTCTATGTTAGAAAAGTGTCTTTATTTCAGTAATTATATACCTGTAGCATGTACAGACAGCTAGAGAAGAACAGGATATTCCCCAAATATTTTTAAACCCTTCAATTTCAATTTCACCCAACACAAATCTTTGACTCAATGTTGATATTAGACAGCAAAGCAGGGAGAAGAGGGGTGTTACACAATCATACATTAAGGTAATTAAGGGCTAAAATGCCATGTTCCACTAGTCAAATATTTTCTTTTCAAGCTGGGATCTTAACTCTGATAAGATGATATTATCTCTTGATTGAGGCACATCTTCCAATTGCATCACCTTGGTTAAGCTGTTCCTCTGCCTCACTAAGATGTTGCATTAAATCATGTTTATAAAATATTTCATGGATACTACTATTACTGCTACTGCTACTGTTAACCACTCTAGAACTGCATTTTTAGCTGTTCCTGTAAATATTCACAGATTTGGAGCTCAAAACCTGAAACATGTCACATGTGGTATTTGATACAAATAAAATGCCCATTTTGGGGGAATGGAGAATGTCTTGTCTGTAATTTCCAGATGGGCTGCCAAGAGGAGCTACCAGTGAACATTCACCACCAGATTCCCTTTACTTCCCTTCACCTAAAGAATCACAGCCGCCAAAGGCAATTTAAAGATACGCTTCACAGAAACAATCCACTTTCTTTGCTGGCCCTGTGTTTTTATCTATTTATCTTTTCAGTTAGAATCACCTTTCTAGCAGGGCACATGGTGTTTCTGAGAAAGCAGAGCTACATATGGCTGCTAAAGGGAAGTTTAATAATGAAAAAGCCCATTTGAAGCCAAACCAACAAGTTGACTTTCTGAGGCTCGTTCTGAATTTTATTACCACTTCAGCAGCAGTCCCTCAGGGCAAGCTGTAGAAGGCTTGCAAGTATAATGCTCTTCAGTAGACAGGATGAAGCTGGCATGTGACCAACAGAGGCTCAAAGGCTCCTCCACTATCAGGAGAACGGCATCTGCCACATGTGTTTGCACCATTTAGTCTTTCATAACCTGCCAGAGCGATCAGGCTAAATATGTACAAGATGACAATGTTTGCTAGGAGCATAACGGGTTTTCAGACTTGGTAACTTCCTAACGGGGGGATCCCCTGCTGTTGGACTTTTATATCGACAGAAGCTATCATGGGAAGGCATTTGTAACGAGACGGGAGGAAATGGTCTCCTTTTCAGGACAATCAGACACATCCCTTTTGTTGCTAGGAAGCTGGTCTCGCCTTTCATTGACAAACAATATTTAAAGTCTGTTCTGCCTCATTTGTGATGTGTAGCCTAAGTCAGATGAAAGGGAAGGAGGAGGAAAATGTTTAGTGGGGTCCGTACAAAAGACATGGAATCTTTCCCTTTTCAAGAGATACTGTGTTAAATCAGACAGACAAAGTTGCCACTTCTAGCAAGCAAAAACAGAGCATGCATCTGCACAGCTCTCAGTTCAAGAGCTAGATCTGTTTATTCCCCATTTCATTTGCAACTACGCACCACTTTCAGAGAATGCGACTTCTGCCTCTGTGACAGCTAATCCTGAAGCAGCTGTACACCTGCAGTGTGACCTGGCACCCTAGAGTGAAGGCAGCGAGGACCTGACACACTTCTTGGGCAGTTTCTGCCCTCCAAGTCAGGTCTAAATGCACAGGATGAATCACTGACAGCAAGATTTTAAAGGCAGAAAATGTTAAGATTGAGTAAAACCCCTTCAGAATAACACATTCAGTTTGTACAACCACAAAACAAAAAACAAGATGTAAAGTTAAAAAAAAGATAATTGATAATGGAAGTTTTTCTAAGTAATTGTAAATCCTATTACAAGAAAGTATTGGCAGAAAGGTGAAGCATAAGCTTATCTACTCTGGTAGACCTAATCTTTTATTGCAAGCTTGGCATAACTGCCTTACTCACATAGGCCAGTTTTGTCACACCACTCCCATGTTTTCCAAGCTTCTGCAAGCTGGGCTCCCCTCCGTGAAAATGGAGCAATGCAAGGCCTGACTGATTTCCACTTATATTATTAAAGATGGGCTTCTGAGGACCACTATTGATTTTGTCTGTACATATTTCGTATTGGGTGCTTCCTTGGAAAGTCTCAGCTGAAATCTTCTCAAAAAAGAACAAGTATCTCTGGTGGAAAGAGAATCCGAAAGCAGTGATATAAATGTATCCAACATGGCAAAAAGAACCTGGAAACCAGTTTTTAAAACAGGTTTTATTTTCTCATTCCTCTTAGTGTGAAAGTAAATCTCATTATTACAGCCTGAAAAATAGTTGTTTTCTTTTTAATATGAGGATTCTAATATGTTTTTAATTACTTCCATTCCTTTTCTTGCTGCCTCCCTGTGCCTGATGGTGGCAGAGATAGCTGGTGTCGGCGCGGACAGGCCTGTAGGCACACCTTAGCCCTGGGAATGCAGTCCTGGAAGCTCATTAAACCATGTGCAATAATCCCTCCCTGCAGGTGAGCTTATCAAATTACCAGAGCGCCGAGATGCCGCACTGTGCCGCAGGATCCAGGCCCAGGAATGTCAACTGTGGCCCTAAGCAGGGTGGCCTTCACTGCTGCCTCCTTGCCTGTGCTGCTGGGGACTTCCCTCTGCCCTGAGAGCAGGCTGGGATTTCCAGAAGCTGGAGGGGCAGGTGGGTACCCATTCCTTGGGATGGGGCATGTGCAGAGCAGCAAAGGTATTTTTAGTCCACAATATAAGGCAGAGTCATGAAGAAACTTCATCTCCTGTTAATTTGCAAGTAGTGTAGAGCCCTTAGTACAACATGGTGGAATTGTCAAGCCGTTCATTTTTCTGGGTTTAATTTTCCTTTTTAAGGAGAAAGTTAATGTTTGAGATGCAGAATCTCCAGGCTGTATCAGATACATCTACTTTATGGATTCTCAAATACTCAGAGCTCCAAATATTCCAGGTCATTCCCTAGCAGGTTTGGATTCTTTAAACTTCAGTGTCTTTGGCAGTTTATGGAATCCAGGTTCCCCGTGGGTACTTTTGGCACATCATGAAAAACAACGCCCAAATGCTGGTGTGCCTTTGCTGCAGTATATTCCTCATTCCTTCCTGGTTTTGCCACTGTCTAGTCAAGTAAGAAGAAAGCTGCTGCTCTTACAGACACCATGAACCCAACTAGGACAGACAGCTGAAGCAGGAGCAGCCAACGTGGGCTAATGTACAATGCAATTATGCCAGGAGTGCCTATGAAGAGCAGGGAATTCCACTTCGTGGGAGCAGGGAGAAGAGAGTACTGTAGTGGGCTGGGATGCAGTGCAATTTTTATTTCCACGTTACTCTGATGTTACTCCCCAAACACAGTTTGCAGATAAGCAAAAGTCTTTTCTCCAGCACAGGTGCATGGAAGAAGAAACATCCCATCTTCTCAGGAAAAGAGAAGATGCATTGTTTTGGGGACAACATATGGATGTTTTAAAGACTCTTAGTTACAAATACAGCAATGATTCCAGTAAAAGATATAGAATATTTCCAGATACATGTTGCATGGCTTTTCCAGGAATCAGAAAGTGTAAATTTAACTGGTGATAATAAAGACAATATAACTAAAACCACTGAACATTTCCTGCTAAGTATCAGCTGACCAATACTTTTGAAAGACAGCTTGCTGATGTAAGTAAAAAGCAGGACTAATTTGTATACAATACAATAAC